GGGGGGGGGTTTCAACAATCATGAAACAAGTTATTTCAACTTATATTAATCACTCTTTTATGCCTGTATGTCAGTGCGCAGGGGGTCTTAATGTTTGAGGACACCAGAGTACCTGGAGAAAACCCATGTGGTCGGGCAGGTGACCCCATATCTTTTCACGTTTGATCGAGGAATTGAACCCCGGCCGCCTTGGTAAAAAGCAAGGGCTCTATCCACTGCACCACTCGACCACACAATATTACTGCATTTGACTTTTAAGATACCAAATTGTGTTTTATAGAAATTTGAAAGAGATGTTCATGTTTCATTCCTACAGTCATAACCACTTACCAACACCTTGGATACCCTAATACACTGGAACCCACTTATTACGATATCTGTTATTATGATAAATCACTTATTACAATATTTTCCCTATGTACCGATATTTTTCTTCTTTAACTAAGCCCAAAAAATGTGTTTATTATGATATGGTCAAAGATGAGACCTCGTTTATTATAAAAAAAAAATCTGCCGTGAATGGATTTTATAGGGTAAAAACTCAGGTAAGCTGTCCATTTGTGACACCTTGACATTTGGCCAATAGGTCCGGGCATACCTTTCGTTCATCACCAGGAACATTCTTTAATGGTTCTAATAAAAAATAAATACATAAAATACAGTTGTTCATTGGGTTTAAGGACAATGCATGTTTTATTTAACCTGAAGCTCATATTATATATATAAACAGGTAAAGATGACCATGACGTTGTCATGGTCATCTCTACCTACTGATAACTCTACTACAATGGCCGGACTGGTGTATTCCTTGTAGAATCTGTCTGCTGGATAACACTTCGCTGAGCTCTTTGCACGGACATTGAATCTCCCACTCCCCGTATATATATATAAACATTATTTATTTTACAACAATAATGAAACAAGTTATTCTAACCTGTATCAATCTCTCTAGGTGGCCCGATGTTAGAGTGCAGGGGTTTTATTGTAGGAGGAAACTGGAGTACCAAGAGATAATCCACATGGTTGGGCTGGTGACCCCATACCTTTCGATGTCTGATCGTAGAATCAAACCCAGGCCGCCTTGGTGAAAGGCGAGTTTGCAATCCAATGCGCTACTCAACCATTCAAATTGTTACCACAGAATGAGAACTACAGTCTGCTGAGGGTGTGAATCAGGGTTCTGTATTCAACTCATTATAGCAGTGTTCTTAATTAAAGAGTTTACAACTATCACCATTAAAACTTCATTCATCAAGACTCTCACCTGATGCCTATTTCAGAAACTGAAATATTTCAAAGTTACAAATCTTTTTCTTTCAGAAAATTTGCTACCACAACATTTTTTTTTAAAACAAATATCTTTCTCTTATTGGAATTCCATTGTCATGATATGAATAATTGTACAACTTTTTATCAGATGTCACATTTCTTTGATATTCATTGAGTATGAACAGATATACTAATTGTCAATTCTTTGGCAAAAACAACTTTTGTAGAAACTATGCCTTTGAACAACACCCTGATGTGTGTAAGATAATAAAATCACATAACGTCAAATAAATTATAAGTTGATAGTGTATGGCAGTGAGTGGATGCCAGGCCCTCCTATGAGAGGACATTATTTGTCTCGGGGATCCTACGAGGGTAATTGATCCGAAGGCCCCCAAACCCTGGCAGTTCTTCATATCTCAACATGCTTGGAAAATAAAAAAAGGAAAAAAATAGAAATCAAACCATAACTGACACCTACCCTTTCTTTCGTCCTTCCAGGATGTCCTCATCAGACTCCTCAGTTCCGGAGAGGAACTTCAATTCCCCAGATTTCGTTGTAACAGCCGTCACCTGTCAAGGATAAACAAACAGTATGTATCAGTATCCTAAATCATATTAATATCCTTCAGAAACGTAGATATAATTGTGG